TCTGAAAAGCTTCCTCAAATGCCAATACATCCTTAACAGGTATAATACGTGTACGTGATATATTTATATGGAAAAATGTATAGACAGAGTATCGGCAAGCAAACTTCCCTGACATTACCATGGTGCAGAAGGCCATTGCTAAATGACAGAACTCAAGCTGTTATGTATCAGGAAATTCTATGATTAATATTTTCTGATATGTAGATAGTGCAGTTTCAATAGTTTAATTATTTTTACTTGTTTTACGACTTGTTAAGCAGCTAGAGTCATCTTGTAGGGGAATGGCTGGTATAAAAATGTCATAAGTAATAAATAGTAATAAATGAATGAATGAATGAATAAATGTATATATCTTCCCTAGTTTATGTGCAGATAAATATGATCTATAATTCCATTGCTGGGGACAACCTAAAAATGCATCAGGTCAGATGTCCTGTTCTTAGAACCACTTTTATTGGTCTGGTCCCAATGAGTTTTCTTCTGCCTTTAAGTAAAATTGACTTTGCCTTACCTGAATTATTCCCCCCCCCTCCACTTCTCTATATACAGATAAAACATAAAATTTTATCTTCCACAGAGTTAGGATCCATAGGAGACAGATTACTATTGTTCTATCAGTAATCTTTAGAATGATAGAAAAGCAACTATTGCCTTGATGCGTCATTGGGATCATGAAAAGCAAGAAAAATTGAAACCCCCTTTCCATACCTTGTATGGACCCTACTATGAGTAGATTTAATGATCATGATTGTTTGCTTTCTAATACACAATGATATTGTACCTTTCTGTATTACTTTAAATAGGAAACCCTATTTAACATCTTGCTTATTTTGACTCTGTAATTGTCTTGTTATGGTTACTTAAAATTTGGCAAGCTTTATGTGAATGTATCACTTCTGAATAAGTAATGTAGTAAGAAATAGCATTTTAAATAAAGGTGAGCTCCCAGAGTGAAGATGTAATAAATGGAGTGGCTTTTCAGCCACAGATGATTCAAAAATATATTTTTTCTGGTTTAAAAAAGGTTAATAGGAAGTAACAGATAGGGAAACATAATCTAGGCTGCAATTGACAGTCATTTCTTCTGAAATAATCCGTGGGATTCCAGTGGAAATTGTCTGAAATAATTGCGGCCAAATTCTGGATTGTTCCAGGCTTACTAGGAACCCTCATTTTACAGCAAAGGGAGACAACATGAAAAGTAATAGTAATAAATTATTTTTAGTGTCTTTTATTTCTTTTTTCTTACCTGGTACTGAAGTTCCCAGTGCAACAAATACGACTGCAGTTACAGAATCCTTCAGGCCAATTGTGCAGCCAAAATGGGATGCCAAATCCCCAATGAAAGCTGTGAGAAGGCCAATCATGAGGATGGACACTACAAAACAAGCCCAACCATTCCAGTAGTCTGTCGGGGGCACAAAGGCAAAAAGGACTTTCCAGAAGACGGTCAGAAAGTGCATCACATAATCAAAGCAGGATGGTAGCTTCTCTTCGCCACATTCATCATCATCATCATCCTCTCCTGAAAGAGGAAAGAGAGAGAAAAAAAAGGGGGGGGAGGAGAGAATGGTTCATGAATGATGGTTCCCAACAGTAAGGCCGAGAAAAAGATAACTGAAACTAATGGAAGGTGGGCGTAATTGACTCTGATAGGCTAATACCTAACTACATATGAAATGATTACTGTAAAGGTAATAGACTTTATTATTTGTATATTTGGCAGCTTCCAAAACAATCTCAGAATACGTGACAACTGGGCTATAGACACCTTACACCCACATGAAACAACCAGCTGTTGGTGAATCCAAATTCACAGGCTCTTGTAACAATTCAAAGGATGAAGCAAAAATGATAAATCACTCTTAAAATGATAAAGTGGCAAATGTGAAGTACATGGAAAAGAAATCAATATTAAACAGCAAATATACAATGAAACCAAATAACTGCATTTTAAAACATAGTAAAGACACAATCAAAGTCAGTTTTAAAATGGACTTTGAATTACCATAACTTCTACTTTCTATAAATTTACTGATTAACACGTATAATTATCATACAATTGCCTTTTTGAAAAATGAAATATATAACAGCTTAATAACTATATCACTTAGAGGGAAAGGCCACTATATTTTTCAGTCCTTGTGAGAGAAGAAAAAAAAAGATTTTTCCTCTTCATACATCATTCCATAATTTTATAAATATATTTGTCATTTTGTTACACTTATTTTAAAAAGTGTCATGGGGAATTTGTTTCAGTTTCCTAATCAAATTATTTTCTGTCTTATATACATTTTGCATTTCTACCAAATTTGGCTTGAGTTTTAATTGTTCTTATTAATTGTATCTGTTGTTATATTGTGGGGGTATGGTGGCCTAGTGTTTAGGATGCTGAGTTGTGGATCAGAAGGCTGGCAGTTTAAGACCCAGGTACCACATGATGGGGTGAACTCCTCCTTTGCCTTTCTTAGCATTGCTTCATTTCTTGTTTTTAGCTGTTTAGGCTAAACTAACTGGTTCCAACAAAGGTGTCATGCGATTAAAGCCTGTTATTTCCTTTGGTAGTTTTCCTCTACTAAGCTTATTTTGAGAGTAAAGCCTAGACAATGTTATCTGTTTTGCTTGATCCTGAAAGCTTCTGGAAATATGACTCATCAGATCAGGCCATATTTTTTCTTCCACATATTACCATTTCTCAAATCACTGTGAATTATCCACAAGTCTCCTGATTACTTCTTGATTAGCAATACAATTATGTAACTAGATGTTTGTTGCAGAACATTTTGATTCTTTTGGTTTGCACCACCTGATGTGCTACTTAATCTTGATGTACACTGTATAATATTCTCCCAAAAGGCGTGGAACAGAGGAGCCCAAACAGCTGCTGAAGACTGAAGCTTTTAGATGTTCTAGCTGTGAGATTGCTACATTTTCTCAACAGAGAAATGAGGAGCACAGAAGAATGGCAGGGAGTGCCATCTTAAATGCAAGAAAGTTTGCATTGTGGAAAGAAACCCAAATGTTTTCATCTTCTTTCCTATTAACAAACATCAGCAAATGGCTTTTTTGACACCATTACAGGGGAAAAAAAACTTTTATCAGCAAGGTTGAAATACACAGAAATATTGTGGATGCCTCACTACACATTAGAGTATGGATGTAAGAGAAATTATCCACAGATTCAATAGGGCTGTATCAAAATGGACACTACACATTAAGACATTCCCTTTGAAACTTGAAAAGCAGGTGGGAACTGCTATGGGGTTGGCCATGCCCTGCATGCACACAGCTGATCTGGATGCAAAATGTAGGTTTAACATGGTCCTATAAATGAACTTATTGTCTTTTCTTGGTGGATGCATACAAAACCTCAAAATAATTTTGCTAGTTCACTTTTGTTTTCTTCTCAATCCCCAATTTCCTTTTTTTCTTTATTGCTAAACTGACAAATTGGTATGAAAGTTCTACTATCTGTATCTCCTTCCACTGAAAAGGATTGGAAAGAGAAGCATCTAATGGTGCAAGCTCAACACGGACCTCTTCATGGCAACATAATCAGTCTAAGTCTTTGCCACTGAGAAACTGAAAAGGCCAAGTAGTCTCACTACTCTTATAATCTTTCCTCTAAGCATTGTTGATCCCATTTTCAGACGATAATTCTGACTTGCCTTGTTCTTATGTAGAAAAACCAAGATATGGTAAGTATTCTGTTCATTTGTTTGATTTACATGTTTAAACAGAAGTATAACTACTTTGTGATCCTAAGGTTTTCATCCTGTCTGACCGTGGGAACTGCCAATTGTGTACAGTTGTGTGGATTGGGTTAAAGCCAATTTAAATTCTTGAGTTATTTTGTACTGTCAAGTTGATTTAAATTGTCCTAAGATCAGACAGCACCCTGCAGGTATAACTAGAAAGGGATTATTCAAAATGCTTTAAATAATTTTAAATCACCAATCAATAAGATTTCATGTATTTTTAAAAAGAACATTGCGTGAACAAAGCTTTTTGATATTTAATTCTCTCAGAGCACTTTATGGGAAGAGATGCAGAACAATAAAATGTCCATTAGGAGAATCAAACACTATGCTTTTATGACTAATTTAGTGCATTGGTAAATATTAAAAGGCCTTAGTATGATGGCTCCCTGGATATTTAGAAACGAAAGTTTGAAATAAATTATTTGGATCTATAATCTAGCTCAGTGTTCTTCAACCATATTAACAAAATCTGCAAATTTTATATGGCCAGCATGCCCGCTGATCCTTGGAGAAATGCTGGGCATTGTAACAGAATGTTTATTGGAGGCCCATTGCTACTGCATTATTTGTCGCATAATGTTATAAACAGTCTTTTTGGTTAGTATTAAGCTTCATTATGTTAACTCTGATTAGCTATTTTATGGCTTAGGGTGTTAAACTATGATGAAATAAGAATCTCGCATCAAAAATTAAAAGTTGATCAAACACAGCTGCTGAACTGACTGGCATAATGCACTCTTGAGGACTAAATATGTATTGTTTACCTACTTAGCAAAACTGGTATTATAAAGTATATGAATACCTCCCTGCTTCCTTTTGCTTAACTGCTATACTTTTTAAAAACAATATTAAAAAACCTCCAGTGTTTTTCTTCTTATAACTGTTTGAGTGATTGCTGATGAAGTTTCTCACTGATGTATAAAGCAGGAAGACCAAAATACATTAATAAAAAAACAGCTTTCCGGCCAGGTAGCAAAACAAGCCATTTCTCAACCTCTTTTAGAGGATTTCATGTGGGTCTTGTGGAATAAGAATCCTTCAGATACTATTCCCAGAATCTCCAGCGAGCTTCTATCTTAAATCACTGTTAGAGCAGAGTGGTAGATTTTATTTGAAAAACTAGGATATGCCGGACTAGGGAATAGAAAGCCAGCTTTCTATAAGCATTATCCAAAGTATTGCAAGCATATTTAACAAAAGAACAGATAAACAGCAAATTAAATCATTGTCTTTCTGACACATATTGCTTGGGGGGAAAAAAGAAATACTGTTAGGACAAAAATTTCAACTATAATTCTGGTACAAAGAAAATGAAATATAGTCATTTCTCCAGGCTCAAGTCAGGGATGAGAAATGGCCCAGTAGCTAACTTCTGTAAATCCCATTTCTTTTTCAAAAGAATCTTTTCCACTGAGTCCTAGTGACACATGGCTTAATCTTTCACGAGCGATCCACGTGGCTTGGTAACATCTAGAAACAGTGACTAATAAGCACTGTAGTAAGATAATGGATTGCATTCTTCAGTTTAGATTGATAAAGGTCAATATTAACATAGACATCTACTTTAACCTGGCTTCAAATAATGTTTTAAAATATGAAGTAGCTATATTGGCTTTACGTAAGCTAAAAACATGAAACATTTTATTGGGACAGACCTAAGGCCTATCAGAGCCAGCATCCTGTTCCCTGGAATAGCCATCAAAATGTCTTTGGGAACCCAAGAGGCAAGTTCTGAAGATGTTTAATAGTACATTCCTGGTACTTGGTAATCAGGAATCAATTACATGTTTCTTCTAAACTTGACTTTGTAATAAGTTTTTAAAAAAAATAAAACACAAAATCTGATTACCAGATCATCGTGACTAAAAAGACCAATTATCCATACCTTAATCTAATTGCCAGAGTAAGTTTGAAATGGAGCGTGACTGACATCAAAGTTGCGGGGAACAAGAAACAGTAGGATGGTTTAAAACCACACCCTTCTCTGCCTGTTTCTCATCCTACCCGTGGATGGATAATAAAGGTAGATGTGTAAAAACACAAACACAAATTTCATCATGGCAATGGTCTAAAAAAGGTGTGTTGTTTTACTGGTCTAGCAGCTCTGGGCAAAATAGGCACATATCGGGTGACAGGAGGGAAGGGACTGCCACAGCAATAGCAGTCAACTGAAATGGAGGAGATTGACACACAACAGGCAAAACAAAGTATGTCACTAGTGCCATTGCAAATTGGAAAAAACTATTCTGGCATATTGTAGGAAAAGTTGGATAGAGGATGTACGAACTGTTGACCTATGGATATGTAGAGGAAAACGTTGTGTGTTCCTGCCCTTAGAAATAGCTAGCAATTATTACTTGCACTGAAACAACCGGTTAGTTACATCAGTCCTGTGTGTAGCTGCACTCCTGCCTTGCCAACTGTTCTGCTTGAGAGCTCAAAAGGCTGTGAACAAAATGCGGTTTTTGAAGTGAATGTCATTGTTTCTTTGCTTCCAGTTTCTGAATCTAACCTTTGCATTACAGACGTCGGGGATTCTGACCCTTGGCTACCAATGCTGATTAAAGACCACATGACTGGCTGTTTTCTGACTTCAGGCCCCTTGTTAATAACCCTGACCCCTCTTTGCCCTGTGCTGATTTCATGCGAGTGGATGGGATGCATTTGTATGCATGCCTGTGCTCTGCTTCTTTTTAAGGCAGATGCAAATTTTTACTTTTACCATTTTAGAAAGGGATTCAGGGGAGGCAGAGATTGTGCTTCAGGACTGAGTCTGCCTTAAAGGTTCTCTACTGCTGCTCAGTCAATAAGGTTACACATTGCACATATTTAAAGCATTATTGGGGGAAGGATTATCGGGCAGCAATGGTAACACAGGCACATAGTAATATCCATAAAAAGGGTGAATGTGTTTTTCCAATTGCACTATAGCACAGGAAGTCCTCAACTTACGACCACAATTGAGCCCAAGGTTTCTGTTGATAAGTGAGATATTTGTTAAATGAGTTTTGCCTCATTTTATGACCTTTCTTGCCACAGTTGTTAAGTGAATCACTGCCGTTGATGAGTTAGAAACATGGTTGTTAAGTGAATCTTGCTTTCCCTTTGACTTTTGCTTGTCAGAAAGTCGCAAAACGGGATACGACCTTGGAACACAGCAATGGTCGTAAGTATGAACCAGTTGCCAAGCATTTGAATTTTGATCACATGATTATGGGGATGCTGCAAAGGTCGTAAGTGTGAAAAATGACCACAAGTCACATTTCTTCAGTGCCGTTGTAACTTTGAATGGTCACTAAATGAACTGCTGTAAGCTGAGGACTAACTATAATTGCTCTCTGAAATTTCTTCTTGATCAAAAAAGGAGGAACACAGGGTCCTTGGTGCTCTCTGAAGTTGATAGTTTTTAAGCAGATGCTTCATTACCCAAGCCAGTCATGTCATCAGTGCTAGTGCTTGCTCTGTTACCTAATTTGTATAATAAAATGTCTTCATTAAAAAAAATACCAAGCTCAGAGAGCACCAAGGACTCCTGATTTCAATCCTGAACTGCAAATATTCTCCTTTATTGATGACATGGTTCTTGTTGGATACATTTGCATCTTATAGTGAAGTATGAAATAAAGATCAGGCAGACGTTAAGAAAACATTCTACTAGGAACAATGTTTACAGTTTGTTAAGCTGTGTTTTCTCCACCAGTAACAATTAGGTTCACTGAAAACATGTGTTTGTAAGGGTGCAATTCTACAGCTTAACAGAAGGAAGCCACCTGGGAATAAACAGAACATTTGATACTGACAGACGAAGCTTCTAGCTCTGCAGACTTGAATGTTGTGGACTGCATGTTAGGAATGGAAAAGTCTCCTGTGGGTATGTTCAGACTACGATAGCATGTAGTGCTAGAGAAATACCTAATACTTAATACAGATGAACAGAAATACTTAAAAGTATTTTAGGATTATTTAACGCTAGACATCCTGTGCCCTATTAGGTCATTGATTTAGAGATACATCCTTATCTAAACAGAGAAATGAAATGACTATGGTGGGCAAAAAAGCAAAAACAACAACAAAACAACAACAACAACTCTCCCTCCTCTAATTCCTGTTGGGTTGCCCATTTACTTTACATTGCTTGTGGGAAGCCTGTAGGGAAGCCAGCAGGAAATTGCAAGTCCAAAGCCAGTAGGCAGCTAATTGCTTGTTGCTGGGTGAGCAAGGGATTGCAAGAATGGCTGAGAAAGTGTCATAGAGTGTTCAAAATAGGCACGATATGACTGCAGCAGGCGCCTGGTAAGGCTGAAGCAATAGGGGTTTGGCAGCCCTGAAGCAACCACGAGTTCCCCAAATTTCGTTCCCTCGGGAGTCCTGGGTCCTGGATTTTGGATACATGATGTACTGTTCTACCTCATTAAAGATGATGGGAACGAGACTTTAAGGCAGTGTTTCTCAACCTTGGCAACTTGAAGATGTCCGGACTTCAACTCCCAGAATTCCCCA